TGCTGCTGTCAGACTGCAGACGCAGACTGTTGGCCGGATTGAAGACTGAGGCTGATCGAGAGGGAGACGAAGGGGCTGGGGAGGAATATCTTATTTAGGTAATACTTTTCTCCATATGGGTTAATGGCCACCAAGTCAATTCGGTTGGGAGATTGTGCACTGGGTCCAACAGGCCGTGCGGTGTGTATCTGACCCGGTCGAGGCGACGCTGGCCTGGGAACAGGGGCCGCCGTGCTGGGTGCACGGGTTCTGATTAGTGCAAGCGACGCACAGCGCAGACGGCTACGCGGAATGCGAACTTTACAACTATGACGTGTTTACTTCCGCGACGGTCCAACGCATAAACTCACGCCCATCTGCCTCCAGTGGCGGTCACAACTCGCGTTAGCGACGAGCACGGCTTGTCAGGTAGCGGAAAGACACCCTTTGTACATGTAATGGAAACGATTTGTTCAGGCTCCACGCCTTTGCAAACGCGGCCGAGTGTGCGGCCCCGCACAGGGAGCTGCCACTGTGGGCGAACATTAAAGCCGAGAGAAACTTATCCGGGCGCATCGCTGATATGTGAATAAATAGCATGTGGATGGAGGCGGCGCAGTAATGTCACGCTGCACAGGTTGTGCTTCCAGTCTCCCGGTACGGCAGAGTATGGCGACGGACCACTGTGGGGAAGAGCTCGGTAGTATCGAGTCTGTTTCTGTACTGATCCTGCTGCAGCAAGGACCGTTGCAGGTATACTACGCGGACGTGCGGAAACCTCTGAAACGCGAAGTTCTTTGAGTATTTCTGAACGCTTCTGACACATGGAGCATGCCGGATTTTCTTTCCGTCGAGTGCCTCTGTTTGGTAAAAGGTTAAAGCAGTCCAGCGATTGCAACTGGCCCGTTATGGATGGGATCGGAAGGCTCAGGGCCCAGAACGGGTTAAATGTCACGGACGCGTAACCACACACCGTGCGCCATGACGTGAGCGTGAAACGCCTCCAGGGCTCCAGCGGTTTCTGGGCAGCACTGAGTGTCATCACTGTGGTTGGCTGTGGTCGGGTTATTCGTTGACACGGCCCACCTCTTCGCGCGAGCCCCCCCCCCCCCCCCCCAGCAGATATCTCAGGAGCTGCCATGTGTTCTGCTGCTGATACACATGAATCGGGCCGCAAATTGCCGGAACTGTGCCTTTAGCTGGGAGGGAGTCAGTGCCCGGTAAGCCTCATCTGGGATCTTCCAAAGACCTCGCATAAGCGTGGCAAATGCTCTGATGAGAGCACCCTTCGTGGCAGAGGTGGTCGTGCTGATGTCTCTCGAGTGCTCATCTCGTAGGATGCAGTCACGCAGGGCACGAGTGATGCTCAGGCATTGCAGCAACGTGTTTATGAAGCACGTATTGCCGATGTTCCCGAGTCCTGCGAGTCGCGCGCTACCACCTTCTTCACTCGAGCAAATGATCCACGGGCGGCTCGACGGGGAGGCAGCCAGGCCTGGGCAGGCGACCGGGCATAGCTGCTTCCGGTTCCTCTGTTAAATGCGTACCGACTCGGCCCGTTGCACCCCATTCCGCTTCGTTCGGGTGCTCTTCAGTTTTATAGTGGCCTTGTTCAGCTGGGCGTGCAGCACCGGAGGGCGACACTCTGAGCCTGACCTCACCGGGCGGCCATGCAAGTCTGAGAGGAGGTGACAGACCGCCGAAGAGTATGAAGGAAGCTCACACTTAGGTGGCGACGAGTTAGGCGTTCCATCAAACGGGCTCATGATGTTGGTTGCCCCCGGATGTAATGCCCAGTTCACCACAGTCTGTTTGCCTTTGGGCGCGGGTCAGTGATGTGCGCTGGCAGGCGTATTATAAGAACTTGTTGTGGCAGGCACGGAGGCGGCATTGCCACGAATGAAGACGATTGATGGCAGCTGCCAGAGCCAGCCAGCCTCAAGGTAATCTCCATATATGTAAACAAGCCGCAATCTCAACTCTGATGGAAGTCTTGGTGGATGGACCGCAGCCCCCCCCCCCCAGTCTCAAAAGCGATGGGTTCAAACTCAAATCGTCTGCAAGGTCTGCGTACCTGCACATCTCTTGCGGTGGATTCAGTGGCTATGTGTGTGCTTCAGTGGTGTACGTGTGTATGCATGCAGCGTTCTAAACTAGGTTTTTCCCCGGGAGTGCAGATGAATTGCGGGATGGAAAACAGGCCCAAACCTCGTCCACCAGCCGTCGCAAGAAGACCATACCAACCAGTATTGAAGGAGGACATGGACAAGCGTACCACCTGACGTGTGGGTTATGGTGTCTCGAATTTCACGAGTGATCGTGTTAAATCCATCACCATCCGCCCATTTTGGGGTATCTTTAGAGATTGGCGTCAGATACTGGCAACCAGGCCGGATAGAAACGTGAAACCAGTTGTATGACGTAGGTGAACATTCCGCTTCCAAATCATCAAGCCATCTTAACATTGGCCAGTTTTACTTTCAGTTCCAGTTTCAATTTTCAACATTGCTCCACGCAAGCATGAACAAACATTAAGAAATTGTGAACAGCTACATACACTTACGCCTCCCAAAGGCTTATCACATTCAGATCTCGTCTAGCTTGAAAATACCTAAATTGACGCCAGGTACCAGAGGCTGTGTTGGCCGGAGGCGAGGCAATCCTGGAATGGCCACGCGGAACGAGTGCTGCCGACGTGCGCGCCTGAGAGGCGGAGGGGCTGGGGCCCCCGCGCCCGGACGGCACGCTGGCAGACAGCGGCACGCCGTGTAAACGGGGCCTCGGGAGGGGCTGGGGGCTCCCGCGCCAGGGCGGCACGCTGGCAGACAGCGGCACGCCGAGAAAACGGGGCCTCGGGAGGGGCTGGGGGCCCCCGCGCCAGGGCGGCACGCTGGCAGACAGCGGCGCGCCGTGTAAACGGGGCCTCAGGAGGGGCTGGGGGCTCCCGCGCCAGGGCGGCACGCTGACAGACAGCGGCGCGCCGTGTAAACGGGGCCTCGGGAGCTCGCGTCGTTCAAAAATTTGTGGACCCCGACGCGGTTCCGGCGAGTGAGCAGGTCTCGATTTCAGTGCCAATCAAGCTTCACTAAGATCGAGGAGTGTGCTTGTGACGGCAATGGGAGAGGGGTTTCCCCTTACCATTTGCTTCCGGTCAGCAATGCAGCTCTTAAATCATTGAGGCTCACGCCGTAACATGGAAGCTTGTGTAAAAGGGCTGAGAGATCAACGTCGTCAAACGGGCGAGTGAAGTGAATCGACGTGACTGTAATGGCGTGGCCTTTGTCATCTCGTCGGGTGATCCAATGGGCCGTGTCAGGCAAAGCGTGTGATTGGTACAGTCTGACACAGTGACATTGACACAGACTGTGCCAGACTGCGTCGTCAGGCAAGCCCGCGGCGTCGTTTGTGATTGATTGAAGTGTCAAACACTCGACTTAGCTTTTGAACTGGAGAAAACGCGGCAGCAGAAAGTCACGCCATTCACCAGCTCCTTGAGGTCATGTCTGAAGATTGGTAATGATACAATTACGATCGGGGTGGAAGGACATCCCAAGTGTGTGTCGCAACAGTAAGGAACAGCAACGGAATATGGTGACGGGAGCAAGCAGCCACGGAGCGTCCATGCAAGGAAATATCAAAGATGTTGCCCTGTTTACCAGATATTTCTATGATAAATGGCCTACGCGGGAAAGGACGGCGTAATCAATCGCAATTACGAAGGAGTGCGATACGACGCTATGCGATGGGAAGAATCAGCCATGCAGGCGGATGTTACTCGAAGCATCGTGTACTAGGAATATGCTACGAAGAAACGTGATGCGAAGAAATGCATGTGTGACCAGATGTAATGCGAAGGATCCGGTGTGCAAAGTTTCGTGTGTGAGCACTCGCGGATTCAAATACTTATTTGTGTGCGGAGATTGTTCGCGCACGAGGCTCTGCGATACTCGTATTTGCCTTTGGAAATTGAGCAAAGGAAATTTTGCCAACGAAAAAATGTGCTGCGAGCAAGTCCATTTACAGTTGTTTAGGGAGACGAATGCTTTCGCAGCTGAAGCTTCACCTCTCCCACTACATTGTTGGTCACGGCCGGCTCCTGGCAGCATTATTGCTGCTGACCAATGCGGTGTGCACTAGACCTGTCACGGCTTCCGAGAGCCCTCCTAAAATATCAGGGTGCGCAAAAGCACATGCCTGACACCCGACCAAGCCTATTGCATAGCCTGTCTGTGGCGATGGTGGACGGTTGTGCCCACCGTCGCTATCCGGTGGTGGCGCCCTACAAATATGTGTTAAGCCCTTAATCGGAGACTCATGCCCGCTAGCTAGCGTGGCAAACACGGCACGCCGAATCAGGCTTCGATTGTGTCCCTAGCCCACGGCGGTACATTGGCTCGCGTCTGGCCACGGCGGTACGTTGGCTCGCGTCTGGCCACGGCGGTACGTTGGCTCGCGTCTGGCCACGGCGGTACGTTGGCTCGCGTCTGGCCACGGCGGTACGTTGGCTCGCGTCTGGCCACGGCGGTACGTTGGCTCACGTCTGGCCACGGCGATACATTGGCTCGCGTCTGGCCACGGCGGTACGTCGGCTCACGTCGGGCCACGGCGGTACGTTGGCTCACGTCCGGCCACGGCGGTACGTTGGCTCACGTCCGGCCACCGCGTCCAATGTGACGCCGATTGGGATGGCCTGCTCGTGGCTCCCCGGTCCAGGACTCATGCTCTCTGGACCCGCCGGCCTGCTGTGATGTCAGCAGCCCTGCCTCCTTCTACCCGGTACGCCCCCCACGCCCAAGCGGCTGATTGGTCGTCGGGTGCCTCAGCTGTGGTTGGCTAATGTCCGTACTGTGGATTATGTGAAGGGAACTGCGAATGCCAGCCGCTATTGCTGGCACAGCAAGGCTCAAATTTCAGCCAGCAGCCATGGCAGATCAGCCTTAAAGATAGAAGTGTGAAATCAGGGGATAGCTTTTTGATCCAGAACACTTGGTTGTCTCCCGAGCCTTCCCCTTACCTTACCAAAGGCGGTCTCGCCATTCTCCAACACATCTCAGCGAGGCAAGCTCTGAATTGCTAGATTTCTCAGCAGCAATGCATCCTGCATCGTCCTCCAGCGACCGCGACGGGAAGGTGAGCTTTGCCTCCGACCAATGACATTCTGGGCGGTTCAAGTCCCGTCTTCGCGCTTAAGACTCTTCACAGGATTTTTAGCGTGTTTGGAGGCCTTCGGTATTCGTTGAAGTCGGCAAACCTGCTTTTGCGAGCAAACTGTGAAGTGGTTTGAGAAGCCTTTACGAAGTGCAAAGGGGCTGTGTGTTTGAATGGAATGCCCAGCCTGCCTGATCCGGTGCGATCGCACCTAATGCTTTTGGCAGCTTCGCAGTTTCAAACCTCATCGTCATACATGGGTGGTAATTCCAAAATTGTATTGTGTCATCCTTAAACATCTATGTCGCAATCAAGTAGCCATTTCACATTAGCACATTCACATATACAGGAACGTGCTTCGTGCAGAAACGCATTAAAACATTTGTCCATCGCTGGTAGGCCCAGCACGAACCGCCGTTTACCAAAAAAAGCGTGATCAAGTCCTTTGAGTCTATGGAGTGAGCTACATTTAGTGTAAGATATACACAGCAAGCCAAGCTCTTATTCTAGCAAGCAAGCATCGGATATCATTCAAGGAGCTCGATTCTAACAGTTGGTATACTTCTATGTCAACGGCTGCTGTAGACAACACACTCTGCACAGTAAATTGCTCCTCAGTATGCAATTGCTTGGTTGCGTCAGTGTACCTCGCACAACATTGATTGAGAGCCAATTGATATTCGGTGTATCTGGAAATTATGCTCACGGATGCCAACTATGAGCGACTTGACAATCAGATTTTTCCCGACCTTGGTCGCCGCATGGTTTATGAAATGGCAGGATTTGGATGACGTTGTTAGGGTGTCATGTATGCTTGGGTTCCCTTGAAATAGGCTTCCCGAAACAGTCCGCACATTTGGCGGATGTGTGCCTCAGGACCTGAAGAAGTTTGGACCTTAAGAAGGGCAGACCGTCAAATGTAGCGAATGATGTTCAACATGGCTATTTCAGCTCAAAATCCCATACAAATGTGGAGCACTTTCTTTGGAAGGAATACTTTTTAAGCGGAAAGACTGCTCTACACAGCACAATTCTCTGTAAAGTAAATATGCTCTTGAAGGCGTCATGGTTTGGTTACGTCATCGTATCTTGCACAATATTGATTGAGACCCAACCGATGGCCGTTATATCTGAAGATCGTGCTCACGAACGCCAGATACGAACGCCTCGACAACTACATTGGTTGGGGTCTTGCTCACCGCATCGCTTATGGAATGGAAAAATTTGAATGACGTCACGACGTCATAAATGCTGCGGTGGTTTTGAGATACTCTCCCCGAAAAACTCTTCCCATTTTCGCGGGCGGTTAGCTCAGAAACTAGAGGGGCTTAGGGCTTAAAAAGCATGGGATTGTGAACAGTGCCGAAATACCTTCAAGGTGGCTATTTCAGTTCAAAATCTCATATAAATGTGGAACACCACTTTTGAGGGAGTGTTTCACCAGTGGGGCATTTTTCAAAAACGTTATCTGGTGAAATTTCAGGGTCATTTACGTCTAATATAATTATAATAGCACCGGGTAGTGACACTGCACCACCATCACGATAGAAGGAGGGAATTGATCTCAGTCATTTTTCGAGTCAAAGTTGCGCTGTCAATGTTTCATCACAGCACTACAGCTCCTTGCAGCCCCAGCGTGTAGCACTAGTCCACGACAGCTGGCGGCGTCTGAAGCTGCTGAGGGCCGTCGTCAACTGCTACTAACCATAGGTACCACTTTTGAATTGCTTTAATCCGCACATAACGGGGGTAAAAAAATCGCCCACTCGCCCACGAGTGTGGGAGACTCATATCAATGCCTGCCCTTCGTGGAAGAGACTGAAACGCTCTCACCGTTCAAAGTTCTTTTCAGCATATGCATTCACAAAACGTCGATTGTGATGAAATTGCGCGCAATGCAGCGTTGATAGAGAAACATATGTTCTAGTGGCCGATACATTTTCCAGCACTTCCGTGTGGGGAGACATTTTGTGGGCAATTTGTGGATATACTCGGAATAGTCTAAACGGACGGCTGAGCCTGTTGGCAACCCCATGCTCCGAGCTTATGATACCGATCGACAGCAAACCTTCACCATTCGTCGCCGCTTGGTCTTTAACCTATCCTCCCCAGGATATGATGACCTTAGGCATGGTAAAAGCTCTCCAAAAATACGAAAAAACAAACAAACAGAGAACTACGGTTGCAGCGAGCCCCATGCTGTGAACCTATTTGATTGATCAACATGAAACCTTCACCAATCGATGTGCCATAGACGATAACCCATCCTTTCCAGTACATGGTGACCTTGAGTCAGGTCACCATGGCCACCATGTTCTGGAGAGCACAGGATGTCGAATGTGGCACTTCGACTAGTAAAGGTTTTACTGAGCTCATCCACATCCGCAGGTAGTCATCCAACTGGCGCGTCTATGATTTTGCGTTGGCTCATGCCGGCTGGTCTGGGGGACAGGTTATGAAAATACGAGCTTTTTGCCTCACTTGTGAAATGCCCTTTTCGGGCAGACGCCATTAGACGGCTCGTTGTTTCATGTAATGTTCCCACTTCTGGTGGCCGCGCGAGGTGCGTCACAGTCTGAATTTTTGTTATTACAAGACCATACATTTTCAACCGCTCTTAATTCTACAACACTTCCAAATTTCATCTACTTTATTCTTAATTGTGCCATGCCTGTTCAACGTTCTGTCTTGTCATAGGAAGCCCATTCACTGCATGTTCATGACGTATTCCACCTATCTAGAGTTTATAAGTCTGGTCCGGCATTGCCTAGACGAACTTAAATATACGTCGGCGTCAAAAAAGCTGTTAATTTGGCATTACTCACATTTTGAGCAGCTGTGAACCAAGCGATGGAAAAAAGTACATCTTGGGTGGATATGAGTCACAGTGGACAAGACCGTTGGACTGTTTGATCTTCATGCCCCACCATTTCTCTCAGTCTTTCTTTCCCTTCGTCCATATCCCTCTCCTTCTTCCACTCTTTTCTCTCTCCGCTCTCCATTCACACTTCCCCCCCTCTCTCTCTCTCTCTCTCCCTCTCTCTTATCCTCTCTCCTCCTTCCCTCTCTCTTCTCCCTCTCTCTCTCCCTCTCTCTCTCTCCCCCTCTCTCTTTATCTCTCTCTCTCCCTCTCTCTCTCCCCTCTCCTATCTCTCTCTCCTATCTCTCTCTCTTCCCTCTCTCTCTCCCTCTCTCTCCCTCTCTCTCTCTCTCTCTCTCTCTCTCGTCTCCTCTCTCTCTCTCTCTCTCTCTCTCTCTCGCACTCTCTCTCTCTTCTCTCTCTCTCTCTCTCTCTCTCTCTCTCTCTCTCTCTCTCTCTCTCTCTCTCTCTCTTTCGTGTTGACGCGATGCCGGAATCGCTGACACTTCGGCCTGGTGTTGGCTGGTGCTAGGCATTTTTCGCACATGGTACAAATTTTACGTTTCCCCACGTTAGCTGAATGGGGGGGGGGGGTAAAATTTTGTTTACATTGCAGCGTTGCAGAAAAGTCGCCTCCGAACAATGAGCTAGTGCCCATACGCCTCTAAACGATGGTACCCGACGATATGTTTTGACGCAAGGAAATATATAGATATATATATATATATATATATATATATATATATGTATATGTATATCTATCTATCTATCTATATATATATATATATATATATATATATATGCATATGTGTATATATATACATATATATATATATATATATATATATATATATATATATATATATATGTATATATATATACACATATGCATGCATATATATATAGATAGATAGATAGATATACATATATCTATATATATATATATATATATATATATATATATATATATGTATATCTATCTATCTATCTATATATATATGCATGCATATGTGTATATATATATACATATATATATATATATATATATATATATATATATATATATATATATATATATATATATATAAGTTGAAATGGGCAGTTTTCCCTCCTGCGCAGTTTGCGCGCTCAATTTTTATCGTTTCATGCTACACCGCCTTGTATTCGACATGGGTTTCTTGAAGACAAAACTACGCATGCCACTCTGTGGTCGATTGCTGTCGCACATGCGGGGCAGACAGCTTTGAGATATGACAGTGAGATGCGGCCGATACACCAAGCCAATCCGCGCACGCAGTTGGCTTCACGTTTTCATTCGATCTGGCTGCTTAGATCAGTGCTTCAAAAGCCTACAAACAGGTGGATTCATGGCTTTCTGCCCGAGAGCATGTATTGCACGATCGGAAAGGGTACAGAGGTACGAACAACACGACACTAGAGGTGCATAACGCCGCACCCCTCCCAAACCTGCCCAGCAGCGGGAAGGTGCTGACTGAACTAGCCGGGCGTAGAGCTGATCAATATAGGCTGGGCGTTGACTCTCAAGCGCCGGCTTTTGGATGCCACGTGAAACAGGCCATGCTGCCGGCACATGTAATCAAACACAGACTTGTGAATTTTGCAACGTTTGGCAATATGCCGTTCATGTGTTCATGTCCATGTGTGCGTGTGTCCCCGTGCCAGTGACGAGATTGCTTTGTAACTATGTTTCCCGTATGTGCTATTTATCACGACGCGTCAAAACGTAAAGCACCACATGGGCCTTCTGACAAATGCATCATCATAAACAACCATTACCCTTGTCTGGGATGGCCTGCGGACGGTGACAGAGGCCTTGCTAAGGTCACTTGACGTCAGAGACTAGGATGGACGGTGCCGGACATTACGGCGCGTTACGGCACATTAACATTTCGCCACCAGATTCTGCCTTGAACACGACATTTCACGATCGGATAGAGCGGGTCAGGGCTTACGCAATAAGTACCGTTAAACGTGGGCGGTAGTCCCAGAAATCGATCCATTTAAAACATGCCGCTTATTTTTGTAGTCATGGCTTACGATAGCCAGGATATTACGCATATAGAGCATACACCCATTTGTCTATAGCCGGGATATTACGCATATAGAGCATACACCTATTTGTCTGTAGTCGGGATATTACGCATATAGAGCATACACCTATTTGTCGATAGTCGGGATATTACGCATATAGAGCATGCACCTATTTGTCGATAGTCGGGATATTACGCATACAGAGCATACACCTATTTGTCTATAGCCGGGATATTACGCATACCACCTATTTGCCAGGGCAATAAGTTTCCTTCCCAGCCCTGCGTCAATACAAGCCTTTTGAATCGCCGCAAAGCCTGGTCATCGATTTTGTGATTAAACAATTATACGTCTCTCGTGTTATATGGAGCGGTGATATTTCAAGATGCGGAGGCATGCCACCTGATCAGACAGCTCGCATTAAAACGCCTTGAAAACGATGAAATATACCTCACGGTGGTGCGATCTATAATCGCCAAGATATCAGTCAGCCAAAAGTGTAAATTGGCCGACTTCCGGCTAGTACTTGTTGATATGGAGGCTCGCTCGGGTTACGGTTTTGCTCCTAAGCGATTCCTGGAATCGGAACGAGCAGGCCGCGCTGGGGCACAAAAGTTTACACTGGTAGAAATGTTTAAGTAACGAGCGTTAAGCTTCCGTCGTCGTGCAAAAACAGCACGCGCTCGTGGACCCATCCTATGACATCTCCCAGCCCGCCGCGCGCCGCAGCTTTGCTAAATCAGTAGAGGCACCTGAACGAAGGATGGCATGCACAAACCAATTCCCAAGATGGATTTATTTGTGGAATCGACACATCTGGCTGCAGTGTGTGGGTGGTGGCCGATCAGGATTACCGTGCACGGACGGTGCCATCAATTTAGGGGGGGGGGGTGAGATATGGTAAAACTATCACAACGTTTGACTGCAAAATGGGTGACAAATAATGCATTGGCGTTCTCATAAATTATCGTTGTTACGCAGAAGTCCTCGTATGACATGCATTACACCGCGACAAGGCTAGGGGCGCGGGAGCCGGGGATGGCGCAGGGGCTGGGGGCCACAACTTTCCCAAAATTGGCGTTGGCCTCTGTGGGCGTTGGCTGGAAAGACCTAACCCGAACAGTCACTATTCCCTCTCCCTTCCAGCGTGGAAGGACGCTGCTTGTCCTATGCTGGCGGATCTTTGCTATCGCAGCCCCGTAGTTTCTTTTCACAATGCATATCATAGTCTAGACCAGTTGATCATACGATGAATCAAGGTATGAATACGTGTACGTAAAATGGAAAAGCTGCGTAGGGTGATATTTCATGCATATTTACTCCGCACCACGATAAGACTTGTTCGTCCGATTCCAACCTTTTTACTTTGGGGACGGAAAAATCATAACTGAAGTAAATATGGCTTTTCATTACGGAGACGACAAACTTTCAAACGACCTGCTGCTTGAGGATCACAGAGCTCACATACTCCTTCCAGGTGTATGTGACATACTCCATACTCCTGCATCAACACCGCTTGTTACACGGCTCTGGGCGCAGCCAGACGTTCGCCGGCGTGATGCGTTAAGGTTGGCATTTGGACTGCGGCACGAGCTGAACCTGCTCAATCGAGGCGAAGGCGATGCACATGACGCACTGCTGCTGCATTAATCTTCTTCTGCATCACCACTAAGCGAAGCAAGTCTGCAGCCCCTGCGGAGCGCTGGAACTGCTTTCAGCTGAGCCGCTGAACTGACAGATCAGGTCATGAAAAGGCGATCAAGTTTTGCATTGGCCAAGTTTTGCCAAGGTTTTGCCTCACATTACGGAGAACAAACTGCGTGAATACATTCCTTCCCTCCGCAAGCGGTGAGGGCATTGGCCTTTTGCTCCTCTGGTGACGCTGCCCTTGTGTGCCTCTGTAGAGTTGGTATTCGCAGCTCCCATACGGAAAGCAATAGGAATGCTACGAACTTGAAGGGGAATCAGTGAATGAAGGGGACCTGTTCAGGTTGCATTAGTGAAATGTTGCAGCGTAATGAAGCTAAAAGCAAATACAATTGATGCCCGCCCCGGCGGCGCAGTTGGTTAGAGCGCCTGCCTTCCGATCCACCCAGCCGTGGCCGAGTGGCGTGGCGAGGATTAGGCGCGTGCTATTTCTCCTTGAGAGGGGCGATCCGCGGGTGGTGGTGGTGAGCGTGCCAAACGTCAGGCTCACAGCAGAGGACAGGCTCGACCGTGCCGTGTCCTTTTGGCACGTTAAACTGTACCACCAAATTCTGCCTTTGATCCCTCAAAGTCTGCCGTATGCTTTCAGAATGTTTCAGGGTGCACAATGAGCAGACAAGACACGCAATATTGTGTAACCGCATCAAATTGCGAGCTAAAGCTACTGCAAGAACACGGCGGTGGAAGAGGTATCATATGTGATGGGAACTGACGAGGACGCACGAAAATTGCAGGCAGTACCAAGGGAATTCATTACGTCGTAGTACGCATACTACAATTCAATATCAGTTCTGCCCTTCGCTTCAAAAAACCTATTACATGCAAAGGTCGCATGCACGTGATACTCCCATCTGACCGCCTAAGGCGGCTTAAACTCCAGGCACGGAAGATAACAACATTGCATGTGCTCGGTCAGTATAGGAGAAAATCCGCGCACCGTCTTTTGGAATCCTAGTAGTGTCTTTCTCGTATTTGTACCAATGTAAACCTACCAATGTGAGAAAAGTTCGTGACGGTAGCAATTGAAGACAGGCGCCCCTCAGTGAAAATATGTTCTAAAAATATATTTTCTCCTGCAAGAAGGTTGTGGAGATAGGGAGGACTGCCTCCCCCTCTCTCTGAGGATAAAGAGGCCGCGTCCTCTCGTTAGGGAGCTAGGTGTCTGAAAGTGCTACATTCGCGGCTGGAAAGGACAGTATGGCAACAAAGAGATCATAATCAAGACTCAAATACACATTCTGAGATGCATTGGATCATAGATCACGGTCTTTACGCGATCGAAACATATAGCACTTTTTTGCATAACCTTAAAACAAAGTCACACGTTTCGTGGCTTATGAAGGTCACATTTTGAGCTATTCCCATCACGACAATGTCAACGCAATCTGACAAAACTACGACTTTTTGTGTTGAAAACAATAATTATATATAACGGTGCTGGTTTCAACTAGTAATTCGCGTTCCTCTCAATGGAGCACACCGAGTGCGCCTCCCAAAGGATGGCTCCCACCTCTTCGGCTGAAAAGTAGCTCACTTTTGGGATTTCCGACCTCTATCCTTTCGACCAGACCCTTTCGTTTCTTTCGGTAGCTCGTCGGACGTGCAGCCTGAGTTCCTCTAGCATGTCTTTGGATGGTCGTCATGTAGTTGTCGTCAGTGGCGGCGGCTCGACAGACGGTGGCGACATCGAGCGACTCTGTGTCCCGACTGCCCCGTGCTCACGCCAGCGGTCGGCGAACTTGCTGCAGGTACCGGGGGATGTCCCATGCGATCCGACGACCACGCTGAGCTGCCTGGCGACCATGTGGCAGTGCGAGGTGACCTCGGAACAAATGGCGGCGAACCTTGACAAACACGACAGCCTCGCCGCCTTCAGGAGCCAGTTTGAAATTCCCAAAATGAAGACGAAGCCGGGAGGTAAGTGTAAACAGTTTGTAGCTAATAAATGATGGTTATTTTATCCGATGGATGATGGTTATTTTTGTGACGTACTGAATGTGGAAAGCAAGACCATACTCTGCTTATATGATGCACGTAGAATAGTGCTGTTTTTCTCTGTCATGTGTTTGACGTAGGCCTGTTTTTTCAGTTGACCTGAGTGCTGTCAACCCTGAGGACGATATAATTTACATGAACGGGAACTCGCTGGGGCTGAAGCCCAAGAAAACTGACGAGTATTGCAGTAAAATGCTGCAACAGTGGGGAGAGTGGTAAGAACTGCGTCATAACACAAAAATAAGCCAAAGCTATGAGTGATTTGTTGTCCTCCATTGATTGTTTACTGCTGTGTTTTACACAACGCCAACCAGCATTGGGGTTACAATGCCAATATGCACTGCGTTTCGATTCGTTTATCTATCTGCTTTTTGTTGTATCTAAAGCATGGTCTCCGTTTGGCTGTCTGGGGTTTATTGTCCCGTGCAACTGATGCAGTCATCACCGTCGCCACGCATCGTACATACTCTTCCCTGCGACGCGAGCTAGGGGCAAGCCTTTTGAATCGAAACCATGGCCCGTGAGTTTTGACCCGTGCTTCGCTCTTTTTAAAATCGAGGTGTATGGAGGCTGAAAGCATGTTGCAGCAGCAATTGAGCTTAGACTTCTCGATCTAGGGCAGACCTCCTGCTAGATGCAAACTAACTTGGCCACTCAAGACCAATTAGGCAGTCCAAGGTTTGTTGCCGGCCCTTCCTGGATGTATTGAAGTGTGTTGCTGAACATCACGAGGTACATTAAGAGACGTGTTACCGACCTCGTGCTTAAAACAACGAGTGTGGCAAAATTCAATAATCCTGTGCCTTTTTTCGTTTCTATGAGTATCAGACTGCAAACAAAATTCCTCTGTCGTACTCTGCACACTGCTGACGCACATGGCCGTCATTACCAGAGGTGCCGTTTTCTAGTCGTTCTTGTTCAAAGTCCATTCCAAAGTTCAAGGATGGGCCAGCTGCACGTTCAAAAGTGTCAATGAATCAGGTTTTTCCATAATTTTGGAAGTGCGTATAAAATAATTAATACCGAAAAGCAATAACTCCAGAATTTTCTCGCGTCACTACATACCCTTACTGAAGCTGAATGAAAAGAAATAAAAGTTATGGTGAACGATTTCCGCCCAGTCCGTCCAACTTCCAAATAAGACTTCGGATTTTCGGGATTTCAAAAATTTGAGAAGACTAGACTATGGTTATGTGCCAATGACTAGAAACGACTAGAAGTGCCGATGGGATTTCAAAAATTTGAAATCTCATTGGCACTTCTGGTCATTACCCAGCATGGCCGCACGTGGCACAAGTAGGCGGAGAATGCGACCCCACAGCTGATCAATACGAAATTTGTGGATGGCTATCACATGAGTGTCATGCAAGGTAATGGTTTCGAAGATAACGAAATTTGAATGGTGTTATGTTCAATAAATTATTTTCCACAGGGATGAAACCCAACATTTGCAATGTTGCAATGGTGCCGGACACAGCATGACTCCACTCAACGCACATCGACACAGGAATTTTAAAAAACCGAGTATAATATGTCACATAATTTTACATTGTTTTCATATACAGCTATGTAAAAGTCATCAATTAAAAAATAGTGTGCAGAGAGTTCTCTTTTTTACGCGGAGGTGAGCGTGTTTTTGTGTTACGCTCGGTGCGCATCCCTACCTCATTGAGCGAACCTTACCAGATCTCTCCCCATGCGAACCCCATCATAGGACCTCCGCTGCCCCCAACCCTCACTCTTCTCGGCGCCCTAGTGCTCCTTGACACGATGCCGCCAAGTTTCCTAAGTTAAATATAGTTTCCTCTGCATCGACCCCCTTGCGCTGCTGCATATTAGAATGTCTTATTACAAATCTGGCAGAAATATCACACAGTGTTTACGCGACGATGCTGTGACTCCTCAAGATCTCATGTTTGTAATTCTACCTTGCAGGGGCCATCAAACGCACTTCATGGGTGTACTGCCCGCCGCCAAATGTGACCTCGAGGTCAACGGCTCCCACGCGCGATTGGTCGGAGCGCATCCAGACGAGGTCAGGCCCAATCACAACACCTAAGTTGGCGGCGCGAGGTTGTCAGATCGCACCATTGTCGCCCATGCCGTCCTGCCAGCCTTGCGGGCGCAGAGCAGCAGCTCGTACACGCTGTTTGGTCTGTGACGATATCGGGGCAGCCGAGACTTGAGTGGTGTGCCGTCCGGCCGCCGCCTGACGGAGTGGTGTGCCGTCCGGCCGCCGCCTGACGGAATGGTGTGCCGCGCCGGCCGCCGCCTGACAGAGTGGTGTGCCGCGCCGGCCGCCGCCTAACGGAGTGGTGTGCCGCGCCGGCTGCCGCATAACGGAGTGGTGTGCCGCGCCGGCCGCCGCCTGACGGAGTGGTGTGCCGCTTCGGCCGCCGCCTGACGGAGTGGTGTGCCGCGCCGGCCGCCGTCTAACGGAGTGGTGTGCCGTGCCGGCCGCCGCCTGACGGAGTGGTTTGCCGTGCGGCCGCCGCCTGACGGAGTGGTGTGCCGTGCCGGCCGCCGCCTGACGGAGTGGTGTGCCGTGCCGGCCGCCGCCTGACGGAGTGGTGTGCCGTGCCGGCCGCCGCCTGACGGAGTGGTGTGCCGGCCACCGCCTGACGGAGTGGCGTGCCGTGCCGGCCACCGCCTGACGGAGTGGTGTGCCGTCCGGCCGCCGCCTGACGGCCCTCACCGCTGCAGGTGGCCGTCATGAACGGGCTGACGGTGAACCTGCACCTGCTGCTCATCGCCTTCTATCACCCGACGCCGCTGCGGCACAAGGTGCTCATCGAGGAGAAGGCGTTCCCGAGCGACAAGTACGCAGTCGGCTCGCAGGTGCGCCGCCGCGGCTACGACCCGTCCAACTCCGTCATCCAGCTGCGCCGCCGACCCGGCGAGGACGTGTTCCGCACCGAGGACGTGCTCGACCTGATCGCCCGACACGGCCACGAGATCGCCGTCATCCTGATCGGCGGCGTCCACTACTTCACCGGTAAGACCAGCGGCGTCCACTACTTCACCGGTAAGACCAGCGGCGAGCGCTACTTCACCGGTGAGACCAGCGGCGTCCACTACTTCACCGGTAAGACCAGTGGCGAGCACTACTTCACCGGTAAGACCAGCGGCGTCCACTACTTCACCGGTAAGACCAGCGGCGAGCACTACTTCACCGGTAAGACCAGCGGCGAGCACTACTTCACCGGTAAGACCAGCGGCGAGCACTACTTCACCGGTAAGACCAGCGGCGTCCACTACTTCACCGGTAAGACCAGCGGCGAGCACCACTTCACCGGTAAGACCAGCGGCGTCCACTACTTCATCGGTAAGACCAGCGGCGAGCACTACTTCACCGGTAAGACCAGCGGCGAGCACGTTTTTTTTTGGGGGGGGGGGGAGGGTTACGGTTCGGCGCGATGTTTGAGCTGGGCAGGGGAGCGACGGGACAAGGGAATGAGGCCCACGCCGAAAGGAAGGAAATAGGGGGATGTGTTGGGGAGGAAGGGAGTCAGAAAGACATATGTATAGGTAGTGAATAACATTCTGGGCAATGTCATGGAACCAGGGGGGGGGGGGGGAGCTCTATCAAACACTGGAGCTGTGTTGTCGCATGAGGACGTCAACATTTATCTGAACAATTTTCCATGGCTAACCCTCACCCCGATGCGCCATTTTTCCTAACTTGGACTAGAAGGGAGGTAGTTGATGCGGCCTCCCCCGGTCGTTTTCTAAAGAAGAGAGATGAACTCTGGCAGAAAAGGGCAGTGAAATGGTTGTCAGTTGACCTCATATATATCAGCATAGTTGACCTCATTATGCCAGGTCAAAGGTCAAACGATCATGCGGCATAGCGGCACTCAATCTTAAGAGGCGTACGTTTTGTTCAACTTTGAATACCAGTGTACGTATTTATATGTGTCTTGAAGATGCATTCATCGTGTATGATTACGTTAATGTAACAGTGTCGGCCCTCCGCACGCGTTCCGCGGAATCGTTCGTTGCTACTGCCGTCCGCACCAGCCGTAGATCGCCGCGTATAATTTCACAAAAGCCGCTATTGCTCCGAAACTAAATATGTGAGGGGCACGTTTATGTTGTCCAAACAAAGCAATGAATGTCCCATAGGCTACGGAAATTGGGCTGGTGGAATTTAGTCAGCTGAACGTTTTGACGCAATTGCTAACCATGCTAAAGAGGTATCCTCAGTAAACCTCAGGGGGTCGCGTTGACCTGTTCCTATCGGGATAAGGGTTAAGATCAGGTTCACAAACGATACGACAGGGCCCAGGGGCTTAAAAAGATGGTAATCTGATCTGCGACGAACTATTTTTTCATGATGTTTACTTCAGTTTCATTGTTCACTAACCTAGTTTTGACGAACAATAGTATATTGTCCTTCCACCTCGTTCCGTGTTTTTTACATGGCGAATGCGCTGTAGGCAAGGAATGCTGCTAACGCCATGCACGCACATCATGTAAAATTGTAGATCGCCTTGCATATGGGGTGCAGAATACCGTGTTGCTGCAAACCGTTGCTACCTACGCCAAGCGCGGAGGGCTCAGTGGAGGCGGTGTGATGCAGGCCAGAAGTTTGACATGGAGGCGATCACCAAGGCGGGTCACGCGGCCGGGTGCGTGGTCGGCTTCGACCTGGCGCACGCCATCGGCAACGTCAAGCTGGAGCTGCACAAATGGAATGTGGACTTCGCCTGCTGGTGCACGTATAAGGTTAGTCATCTGGGTTGCAGCAGGCCCGAAGATTTCGCCAGCATTGCACTCCTTAGTTTTTACCTGTGGTCATATACGCTGGTCATATACGCTCCTCCATATAGCGTGGTCATATACGCTCCTGCATATAACGTGGTCATATACGCTCCTCCATATAGCGTGGTCATATACGCTCCTGCATATAACGTGGTCATATACGCTCCTTCATAGAGCGTGGTCATATACGCTCCTTGCCGTTTCCAGTATTGACCACACGTGATGCACTGGCCTTGGTGGTTTACTTTGCATCAGAACTGAATCGTTGGACCGCCGTCGATATTGGCGATCGCGGGCGGCGGCTGATGACCGTGTCGTTGGCGCGTCTGTGTTGCAGTACCTCAACTCGGGGCCGGGCTGCATCGCTGGAGCGTTCGTGCACAATCAGCACATGCTCTCGCACCTGCCGCTGCTGCACGGCTGGTGGGGCAACAAGGCCGAGACGCGGTGCGTGCAGACCACGCAGGTCACCGCCTGCAGGCCAAGCAGGTCGCCGCAGGTCGATGCGGATGTGAACGGAGCGAGACGTCTCTGCCGTGCGGGTGCTTGAGGACGAGATCCCAGCTCAGCTATCTGATCCACCAATAAGGGCAGATTTTTTCGTTAGAATAAAACAATATCAAGCGAGCAACAAACCGTTCATTTTCACTCGGCGTTCATTGGCGTACCCCCGAGCAGAAGACAGGCAGAAATGGAAAGCTGCACCAGCTACATCGCGTTGCTGAGCGCTCATAGCAAGCATGTTTAAAGGTGCCTTGAAGTCAAGAGCCATTGAGAGGAACCCACGCCGACTGACCAGTGTATCGCTGACTGTGCGCAGATTCCACATGAGGGACTCCATTGACGCCTCGGTGGGAGTCAACAGCCTGAAGCTATGCAATCCGCCACAAATGTTGGTGGCCATGAACCGGGCCAGCATGGACGTAAGTAGGGGTAACACTTTGTAAAGTCAGTTGTAGGAGGGGGGGGGGGGGGCAGCCAAAAAGGTTGATCTAACCTATCCCTAAAGCCTGATTTTTTTCCCGGACTTTGCCTACTTGAATTGGTGTCCTCAGTGTTAATTTTTTTTTTCATTTTGTAACTCACCTGCCTTCAAACTTGTTTTCCTGCGGAGGGACACCATCCCCTTTCACGCTAATATGAGCTCCTTTTATGAAAAGCCTACAATGGCTTGTAATTATCAGAAAGACGTCTTAGTTAATCTTGATAAGGAATCGCTGATGACTTCCACCATCGCTGATCATGTTGTATGGCCATCAGAGTCACCATTATACGACACGTACACTGTACATTGTGCAAGTACACCTGCCACTGCTGGGGAAAACATGGGATAACTTTTAACTGGGCCACCAGTTAAAGGCTGCAGCATGTTGCAGTCATTGCTCTTAATCTCTATCCAGATGTTATCATTTGAAAATCTGGTCAAACTTTTGACAACTGGGTCAGCACATGAAAGAGCTAGCGTGACAAAAAGATCACATACCTTAAGGCCACTACTTGGTACAAAATAAACACGATACTAATAGTGATATTTATTGCCTAGTACACCAATAGGTAAAATAATTGTTCTTGATAATTGTTGGCCCAGTTTTCCCTGTTTGCATGGGCATTGGGGGGGGGGGGGGCTCGTGCCAGCATTGGGGAGCTCAGGCATCCCCGAAAGTATACAAAGTGACGCCGTTGGACGTAACAGCAGCCTGCAGCACCGCTCCCGCCGCACCCCGGGGCAGCACAGCATCATGGCATCGGGATGAAAGGCGGCCTGGGTCGCTACCGTGTCGGATGCGAGTGTCCTTTGATACGTCATGAATAGTGGTGGTGGCTGCTGCCCATTCAGATCATGGTCCATAATTCACCCGGCGTGAAAGCTTCGATGCCACATTTTTAAAAGAAGTTTCCCGAACGGAAACTATGCCTCGACACCTGGAGCATGGGCTGAGCTCCAGCGCTTCTCAGGACCGACCACAGCACCCAGGTGACTGTCAGCGCTATGGTTGTGTTGTTCCTCTGCCTGCTTCAATCCAGCGTGTTCCATCCCTCTCCAGCGTATCGAAACCGCATGCTTACCTCCATGCTCTCTTCGGCACAGATTTTCGACCAGGTGTCGATGGACCAGCTGCTAGAGAAGCAGACGCTGCTGACCGGTTACCTGGAGCTGCTGGCGGCACGCCGGCTGCCCGAGGCATGCCAGATGACGCCCCGTGACCCGCACCAGCGGGGCTGTCAGCTCTCCTTCCGCTTCCCCGATCTGCATGGCGTCCATGCCGAGCTGCAGCGCCGGGGCATTGAGGTCAGTCAGAGACAGAGGTCACCGAGGTCATGGTGACGTGTCAGAGGGTGGCGAGGTTGGTCAGAGACAGAGGTCACTGAGGTCGCGGTGACGGGCCAGAGGGTGGCAAGATCGGTCAGAGATAGAGGTCACCGAGGTCGCGGTGTCGGTTCAGAGGGCGTGAAGGTAGGATGCGGGTCGCGCAGGTGGACTTCGGTCATCGAGGTAGTTCGCAATTAATCAGGTATGCTTTGCCTCGTTTGGATAAGTCGGAGTTAAGCGAAGTGGGCGATCAAAGTGAAAGGTTGTAAGCTAGCACGGAAGGTCCGACCTCACCTGTACGTCAGTGCTCAGAGGTGACCCGTGTGCTGTATATGCAAACAGTGCCTCGTCGAGGTAGGTCGTTGATTGTCAGAGAACAAGCGTCAAGTATCAAGGTGGATCGTGGACTCACAGGTCGTCGAGAGAAATTGTGAACTCGTAAGTCGCAGAAATAGGTCGTCGTCCATCGTAAGCAGTTTGGTTGTGTCAGACAGGGCGGCCGAGCCGGCTGTCTCTCGTCTCCTGTCATGTCTCTATGGACAGTCCATTGACCGTCCTCCTGTGTCTGTCCGACGGATGTAACCACCAATCCAGTCCTTTGTATCTTTTGTTAGGCTTTGGAACTTCTCAAACTACTCCAGTTCGAAGACGTGACCCATGTGGGCGTATGTTTGTGTTAAATCAAACCAAACCGTAAGGCTGTGAGCAGGGCTACTCGGGAGCTTTCGACAAACCTTTGCGAGCGAGATTATAATGATCAAGGGACATGCCGTGGTCTTGTCACCAGACTTGTGCCTGGCCTCGTATGGATGTCTAATCGACTGGAATCAGTCAAAATCTTGTTGATTGTTAGTGGAATTGGTTCCTTTGAAGTCGTTCTCTTGGTCCAAACCGGAGATGGGTTATGCAAATTCTAGGTGAGACAAATGAGGTGTAAATGTTGGCAATATAACATATTTATAATCTGATAGCTCGTACTCGCACAATAATGAGCGCATTTGCACATGTCTGCATTGCTATCAAAAAAATACCGTCGTTTTTTAAGGACGGCTGCTTTACGCTGTCACCTAAACCATTATCAATGGAATCTATCCCATCGTAATCTATCCAGAGCTCGGTCCATAAGTCCTCTGGCCAGAATGGAAGGCGACGCCAGCATGCGTCCAGTTGCTAGAGGAGTCAGAGTCTGGGTCAACCGCGTATTGTGGGGCATGGCCAGAATGGGCTGGACTGAAGCAGAACCAAGGACAGTTTGTTTGTCACGAAGTTGTACAACGCCCATGCCGTTGCCAAAAATAAGAGCACCTCCCACTGATACCCAAGGCGAAGATGACGGAGCTAGGGGCTGAAGTAAGATCTCTGGCGCAGCCAAGGGCTATTTCCGCGTCCCAGTGCGTTTCAGCCTGAGGCGAAGAGCAATTCGTATCACGTGCGAGCCCACAGAGAGAGAGAGAGAGAGAGCAGCTGTTAATGTCAACCACCAGGACATGGCATGTCTCAGAGGCCTGGCCTGGCCAGGTCTGTCCAGCCACGATCTAGGCAGGCTTAGATTTTTGCAACCGCCGGTGGTACCGCCTCAAATTCGTCAGCGGCATCCAAGTTGTTTTCTTAAGGTGTGCTGCAGTAAGGTGTGCTCAAGGCAGCGATAGAGCGGATCAGGCATTTTTGCAACGTTGCCATATCACTCATCTTACCTCTATATCCCATTTACATTGGAAACGTAAAATTATTAAATCGCAAAAATCCAAGCGACCTGAGACTGACGAGATTTCGAACAGGTGGAGACGTGACGGCGTGGGAGTGGCTGCTACAGACAGAGGAGAAAATGAACAATCAGACTGGCAAAACTGTGGGTCCATGTGTGCAGAGCAGCACAGACCTTCGTGCGTAAACCATTGACCCGGCCGTCGTCAGGCGTTTTGAGTGGTTTATGCGAGACCTTGTAAACCAAAGGGGGTAGAGACCCCGAACCAGCTGAACATACAGTGTGGACGAGCGCACCATCTGCGAGTCATTAAAACAAAGGAGGTAGAGACCTCGAACCAGCTGAACATACAGTGTGGACGAGCGCACCATCTGCGAGTCATTAAACCAAGGGAGGTAGAGACCTCGAAGCAGCTGAAAATACAGCGTGGACGAGCGCACCATCTGCGAGTCATTAAACCAAAGGAGGTAGAAACCTCGAACCAGCTGAATATACAGTGTGGACGAGCGCACCATCTGCAAGTCATTAAAACATCTAAACAGGAGCCCTATGCGCCAAGCCCCAACACTACCTATGAGTGCACTATGTGTAGCTGAAGAAAGGACAATACACAAGGAATCTATTGACAAGGAAGGGAAAACCGAGGACCAGTTTTCCGAAACCGGCTGAATTACGTTACGTTGCCTAGGAAACCAGAGGTAGGGGGTTCAATCCCCGCGGTGCGCGCTTTCGGGCTAGGCTGAGAGGCATGCGACGCCATATATCATCAGCAGCTGAGTGTGTCGTAATGCCCCAATAACGACAACTATGGTACGCTGTGGTCTAAGCCGAGAAAGATAGGGTCGTCAAAACTGTCTAGGCGCACAGTCCAGTGTAAGGTGGCCAGCACCAACCACGAGTATTATCACCATTTTCCACCATTTTCGTCACGGTTACCAGAAACGTTAACGCATGAGTCATAACTGAATGGGTTTCAAAAGCTGACGAGTATCATTGGGTTATGTTTATGCATCACTCGCATGGGGATCACGAGCCCCACCCGTTATCGCCCCGCTCGCCCCGCCTCGCAAAACACCTTTTTCTGATGTGTGCTTGTATGCTCGTGTAATGCTCGCGCAACCTGATCAAAGCATAGCCCTGTGGAACGGTGCAACGGCACACCTAGCTCAGCCTCTGAACTCCGTGCAACAATCAGGCAACGCATAATGCTGGACGACAGCGCCGCTGATCCAGCCCGGCTGATTGTTTGGCAGTGTGACCTGCGCTGTGATGAGGGCCTTCCGAGCATCATGCGGATCGCTCCGGTGCCGCTCTACAACTCCTTCTCCGATGTCTTCAAGCTGGTCACTATCATCAGAGAAGCGCTGGACCACCTGGCCAGTCGGAGGGTCGCTGAGCGGAGCGAAGGCGCTCGGACGGCCGGGCGACCGAGCGCTGACCCAGCTCTGGCTGACCCCTGAACTAGCTCCGGATGATCCGCCCCTGTGCCCCCACTCCTGCGGTGAATCAGCTCTGGCCGACCCGCCCCTGTGCCCCCACTCCTCCGCTGAGCCAGCTCCGGCTAACCCGTCCCTGTGCCCCCACTCCTGCGCTGAGCAGCCAGCTCCGGCTGACCTGTCCCTGTGCCCCCACTCCTGCGCTGAGCCAACTCCGGCTGACCCGCCCCTGTGCCCCCACTCCTGCGCTGAGCCAGCTCCGGCTGACCCGCCCCTGTACCTCCACTTTTGCGCTGAATCAGCTCTGGCTGACCCGCCCCTGTGCCCCCACTCCTGCGCTGAGCCAGCTCCGGCTGACCCGCCCCTGTGCCCCCACTCCTGCGCTGAGCCAGCGCCGGCTGACCCGCCCCTGTGCCACCACTCCTGCGCTGAGCCAGCTCCGGCTGACCCGCCCCTGTGCCACCACTCCTGCGTTGAGCCAGCTCCGATTGATCCGCTGCTGTGCGCCGCTCAGCTGTGGCGAGTGGTTGGCGTCTCGGTGCAGCTGTTGGCGTTCTGGTGTTATCCGAAGTTTAGTGAGTGCTGCGCTTGTCCGAGGTGAGCAGCTGACTCGCGAACAGCGCTATGCAGCAGCATGGGACCTCGGAGCGCTGTTGACGTTCTGGTGTCATCCGGAGTTTAGTGAGTGCTGCGCTTGTCCAAGGTGAGCAGCTGGCTCGCGAACAGCCAGCTATGCAGCAGCATGGGATCTCGGAGCGCTGTTGACGTTCTGGTGTCATCCGGAGTTTAGTGAGTGCTGTGCTTGTCCGAGGTGAGCAGCTGACTCGCGAACAGCGCTATGCAGCAGCATGGGACCTCGGAGGCGCTGTTGACGTTCTGGTGTTATCCGGAGTTTAGTGAGTGCTGCGCTTGTCCGAGGTGAGCAGCTGACTCGCAAACAGCCAGCTATGCAGCAGCATGGGACCTCGGAGCGCTGTTGACGTTCTGGTGTCATCCGGAGTTTAGTGAGTGCTGCGCTTGTCCGAAGTGAGCAGCTGACTCGCGAACAGCGCTATGCAGCAGCATGGGACCTCGGAGCGCTATGCGGACATTGATAAAGACACGCGTCAGCCTTGATGCCCGCACAGGATATAGTCAGTCATGCAGTCGTGTCATGTCACGACTGACCAGGACACGGGTCGTGCTCATGCTCCACATGGGCATTGGAGCTCGGAAACACATATGAACATTTATCTGTGCCGCACAGCGCACTATGTTTGGCTGCGTCCTCGGCTGGCGCTTGCTTTATCGTGGGTGCAATATTTTGCATTGACTGTGTAATATATTTACCGAAGGGACCGAGTCTGTTCGCTGTTGGTGCCAGCTAAGCGCGCGGATCCCGCTGACCGTGATAGCCATGATGGCTTGCGGAGAGCACGGAAGTGAGAAGGCTTCCATGGCCTGAAATATTAGTGTTCGTAATAGACGGCTCACGATGCAAACAAGTAGCTGTAAATTATCAAGGATGAATATAGGTACATATACCGTACCTTATCTACTTTCCTCGGCACACAAATTCCGCAGTCGCTCTCAAAACTATGCAGATGGTCTTCAAAAGAAAAAAAGAAGAATGCATCGCAGACCTCTCAGCTTGGGTGGGGGCACGCTAAAGTTACTCGCGCTGTTACATTCCACACACAGCACTCCGTGCCATGTGGGGTGCTGAGCCATCAGGGTTCATGTCTGTGCCTACTCGCGGTCAGATGTCTCAATTTTTAAGCAATCACTGACAAGGATAGCAGGTCCACTACACTTGGTCT